CGCGGGCCTCCCCGCCTCCCCCACCACCACCCTCAGCTCTGCCTACTCTTGTTACCGCTCGTCTCCGCCCCACAACGCCGCACACTTCAGCCCCCTGCAGCAGTCTCCGCCCACCACCCCCCAGTCTCCCCTGCAGTCCCTGCTCCCTCCCCTCCACCAGCACCCCCACTCTCACCACTCCCCTGCCGAACAAGAGACGCTGTGAGAGACGCTGACGCCACATGTGCCCATGATGATGCTGGACCTTATCACCTATACACTAAAATAAAAAAATAAAAAAAGAGAAGTGCACTTGCACACTACATCTTCCATCCTGGACAACTGAGGGCATGAAGAGAGGAGATGAGGAAGTGTACGAGAAACTTCCCTAACCTGCCATTTGTGTCCATACTGGTGTGCATCAGGGCGTGAGGCGGCCATTATCAGTGACTCCTCCTCTGAGCCCCCGTTCACCTGGAGTTTAACATCCGGTCAGAGGTGTCCGTCATAGCCTCTCATCTGTCTACAGCTTCCACTTATCCTACACTACCAAGAAATAGAAACCTTAAAGCCAAGCTGGAAGAATTGATTTGTGGCCATCATGTTTTTATCCGTGTAAAACTGTTTTTTTGTTCATCCTGAAAGTACTGCCACTGGATTTTTAGACTGCTCCTCTGTAGGTCCTTTGGGCAGCGGTCTGAGGTCTACCTTCGGGTTTTCTCATCGGCTCTACTTGAGCGGTCAGCATGGGGAGGGAAAGGAAGTGAGGGGGGGATACACATCCAGGGATGCACTTTAATGATCACTGTTGTTTTTCCCCTCAAAAGGGTTTTTTGTTTTGTTGACATACTGTTTTCTTGTGTGTTTTTAATTTCACAGCTCAAACAGCCATACCCATTGCCTCTACAGAGCTCTGGTAGATCAAACTTTGTTTACATCAAACTAGTTTTTTGTATCCACAAAACGTACCTGAAGCACTTTTTTGATAGTGTAGTATTACATCTGAAGAAATGCCACGTTTATTAATTGTCCATATTGTTTGTTTTTAGTGGCTGAATGTGGCATCAGTGCAGGCTTGTAAAACAAAGTCATTTTTGTAAAAACGTACGTTCTCTTTAAGTGGATCCAGAAGTCCCATTTGAGGTTGATGGGTAATCTGAATTTACTCATAATCACCCAGCCATGTGAAAGAATCGTTTTCTTTCAGAGTTTGTCCTCTTTCTAGCTGTCGGTTGATCAGAGTGGACGTTTAGGGAAGTTTGGTTTAATTACACCAATATAATATCAGAAGAATCTACCTGCTTTCAGTCAAGTGAAGGAGAACATTTTGCCATTTTTGAATGTGTAACCTAATTGTACCATAACACAACACAATTGCCATCTGGTGTCTATTGAAACCAAACGCTTGAAACATGATAGGATGCTGGACGTGTTGCTGTGGCTGTCTATCTAAAGCTCTTTGTACTCATCTAATATTAAGGACCTTCGACTCGGAAGGTTTAGTATTTTCAACGCACTGTTACCGCTAGTCCTGCTACACAATACAACGACCAGTAGAAGTAAAAAAAAAAATGGTGGATGGGAGACATTCAGGAGGAGGGAGTTCTGTCTTATTACAAATGGACCACCAGACATTGAGGTTCTGTATGATCGTGGCAGTTCTTGGTTGCAACAATGTCAGAGTAGTTTGGCTTTGTAGTATTTGGGATCACCACCTACTGGTACTGTTGGGAATGCTGTTAGGAAGTCAGTCATTTTACGCGTTGTTGGGCTCTTCTCAAACCGCTCAGAGCTGTAACATTAAGACCGACACTTTTCCCACTATAACACGACTCCCGGGAGTATATAATCTTACCACTTCTGACACAACCTTTGGCAAAATGTGCTGTTCAATGAGCAAAAAGTGAGTGCATACTACTCTATAATGGTTGTTTATTTGTATGTTGGGGAACACCACCCGTTAGTCAATGGTAGAAAACATTTCTAGTGTGTATTTCAATGATTGAAAGTCCATTTTTACAATTGTTGTGAATGGTTCAAGGCCACTTAAGTTTAGTGCATGATTTAAAAAAAAAAACTAAAAAAAAACACAAAGGGAGAAAGCCTCTCCCGGTTTTAAAACATGAAAATTAGTGCGAGAACAAAAACAAAATGCTGAAGTGAAATAGCTGAAACGTGAAAAGTTTATGTACTGTGCACCAAGAGCAAACCATGGAATTTGTCTGACTGAGACCAGTGTTTGAAGATGAAGGCCTTATGTGAACTGTATAATAGTTAATAAATTAAATCTTGTAAAATTGTCCTAAGCTCCCTTGTGTCTTTCATTGAGCCTTTTGAACAAATCCACAGACATCTCAATCCATTAATTCTGCATTTTCATTCCGTACTTCATTTGTAAAAATACATTGTCTGATTCTAATTTACAAAGCCACATGCTAGCAGTTAGATCAATATTGTCACAACAAAGGAGCCCGGGGAAATCAAGAATAAAAAGCATATAATTTGGTTGTGCAAAAATGTCAGTATTTTGTAAAATAGGAGGGGTGGGCTCATGACAGATTCTCAAAAGCCCCCGCTGCACCATGCTGTCATCTGACAAAATATCACACAGGCTATTCATTTATTATCCACAGTTCTCACTAGTGGTTAAAATACTGATTGACAACTTGTTAAACAATGTATAAATGCTACCTAAAGATAGGGCCAAGCTAAATTAATATGATTGTTTAAAGCTCTAAATGAAGCATATTAAAGAAGCTTGATTCTACACAACAAATTGTACCTGCAGAAAAACCTATGCCACCGTGCAGGTGACTCTGAAAAACATCAATTATTTACAGCATATCCTTCATGAGTGACTGCAGTTTTAGTAGAACACATACACGAACACACACACACACACAGTATCTGTTGACCCATGCAGAGCGACTGGACAGTGTAATGCTATGGCGTCCTCTTGTGGTTGAATAGAGTTACAGTAGGGAGAAGAGGTGGGCGTCTGCATGTCACGTGATACCCTGGTTATCATGTTACATTTGATTAAAAAGTAGAAGTATCAGTCACTAATTGACCTGTAATATCTATGTTGACACGATTTGCTATTATACAGTCTATTTCCTCCTGCACAATTCCACACATAAAATCGCACATCTGACTGAAAAGTCCAATATGTCTTCTGTACATGTATGTTTTTTGTATATAGGTTAATTTGAGGAACTCTGCAGCCTGAGTTTATAAATGCTGTGGTTTATGGGAAAGATCTGATTGAGCACATTCTGAGGAATTGATTTTCGGATGTTTCCTAAAGATATATGCCTATATACAATTCACTGAATGAGGCCTATCACACGGTTTGAGTGTAATTATCCTTTTCATTGCTATTGGCACATTAAGCGCTTACAAGAGTAAATCAATTTCTGACCTGAATGTGCTCTCTGTGAGCTGCAGCACTGAGGCCTGTCACTACCTCGCTCCACTGCTGAGTGATAGGCTGTTCACGATTGTTATTAATATTAATAGTGTTCAATCTATAACCTGATTATTCCACAGGCTATGTGGTTCTTTCATGTGTTCCCCATGTGTCCTAGTTATTCAGTTCACTTTAAAACAAAGAAAAAGTAATAATTTCAGTTATTTGAAACACAAGATGCATTCGGGCAACTCGTCCCCCCTTTATAAACCCACATTTTCAGTTTTGTTGCTCATTTATGGTGCTACTGTAACCCATGCTATTTTTGTAATCCCAAATTGCTACCCCATTATCTCCTTGTAAATCAAATCAAATCAAGTTTTATCTATATAGCAAATTTATAAACGATTTTTGGTCGAGCCAAAGTGCTGTACATATAATAAAAATAGCCTACAGTAGAGACACTTTACAGCAAATACAACAGCACAGATTGCTCAGAATATCAGTATGAGAAAAACGACACCCTCTATCCTTAGACCCTCACATCGTACAAGGAAAAACTTCCAGAGAAAACCCACAGTTTAAGGGGAAAAAATGGGAGAAACCTCAGGGAGAGCAACAGAGGAGGGATCCCTCTCCCAGGACGGAGAGGGAGAGTGTGTAAATCGAAGAGATAATACATTTTACAGCATATAGACCGAATGTTAGGAAATGCATGTGTCTGTAAGAAGATGAATCCACGAGGATGTCAGCTACAATCCTGTGGAAGCCATCAGGGAAGCAGCATGACGAGACCCAAGGCAGGACCGCAGAGACAGGTTCAGCCACGACCCGAAGTCCACGACTTAATCCAGAACTCAGGATAGAGGATCCAAGACACAGGACTACAGCAAGAGGATCAGCCTCGACTCCGGATCCCGGCGTAGATATAGATACAAAACAAGAAAAAACAAACTGAACTGAATATGTGTACTGGTACACCAAGTGACACTATACATTGGGAATATGCTGTTTCACTTTAGCCATTTGTACTTGTACACATCAGGACCTTACACACAGTAAATACACAATCTGTGTCTACAGTGTATGGACTTACCTGCAGATTGTTTAAAGGTGCATTTTCCAACTTACCTGTCATTAGGAAAACAAATGCAACAGTATAAGGACTTCTGTGTATGTGAAGAAGCCTTTTTCAGAGTCTGAACAAAACAACATAATCATCAGAGAAAGTGTAGTTTTGGCCGGATACTTAAAATACACAACAGAAAGCCTTTGTTACAAAGTGTTGGTGTGGAGTTTTTAAAGACATGGCAGTTATTGAGGCATTAATGTTGTAATAATAAAGTCAGTATAAATGACACATGTACACTATCCATTGTTACATTTACATTAATTGGATTCACATTTTCATCATGCTTTGGCCAATTTCATACTGGATATCTATGTATATGTTCATATAATGTAACTATTAAGCTGAGCATCAACAGCAGATAGTATTCTCCATGTATAGCACTTCCCCCATCTCATGTCATGGGCCTCTGCTAATTAAAAACAAATGCCAATAAAAACATTTCAGATGCAAACAAACCTGTTGAGAATGACAGAAGCCGTGACGTATGAAAGATAGCTTTATTGCACAAGGTGTTAGAATGATCTTTTTAGTTTTTGCTTTCTTTTCATAGAAAATGTACTTTTGAACACAAGCAATTGCTATAACAAGCAACTCAAACAAATGTTTGGGATACTCTCACCATTATTTTTTTGTTTGTTTTGTTTTTCATACGTTTTTTCCTTCAATTTTTCCCTTTTAGCAAGCATGCAATGATTTTTTGAGGATGAACAAAATACAAAATAATGAGAATAAAAAAAGTAAATAGGACAAATGACGACATCAAACAACCTTTAAAAAAAGAATAAAAATCCAACAAATTAGTATCAAAAACATAAAGGGAAAGAAAAATGTTGTTTTTGTGCCCATTTCAGAAGTAAAATATTTTTATTTTTGATACTATTTCAATTTTGAAAGTGGGGCATTCGACCCTGATGTGTCCCCTGATTTATTCTGACGAAAATAGCTCTTCATACAAAACTGTGTTTTATGTACAAGACTTAATCTATAAACAACACTGACAGGTGGAGATGATGGATCTAGTATGTTTAGGGTGGTGAACTTTAACCTTTAATTTATCTGAGCGGGGGGGGGGGGGGGACAGGAGTCAGAATGCTTCAGGTTTGCGGACCGACTCCAGTCAAGTATTTACACAACAGCAGTTTGTGTGACGAATAGCTACAAGTCCCTGATTTCACTTGGATCTACCCACCGGCCTTAGTACTGTTCGGCCTCTGGAACCAAAACATTTGACAAAAACCCAAAAACTAAAATAAAAATAAAAACAAATATGATGAATGAAAACCAACACACACCCTGTCCCATAAACAAACAAACAAAGCAAAATGGATAAATAAATATAAAGCACAAAACGCTATCATGGAGATGCTTCAAAAAGACATTCCAATAGGTAACGTGTGAATGTACAAAATGGAGGGGGGGGGATAAAGAAGGCGGGACATGTACAGTATTTCAGACAGGGCAACAACAAAGATATCAATTGTGTGAACATTATATCATTTTTCAAAGCGGAACTCCCTGACATATAACATCGCTCATTATTATATTATTTTGACTTCATTCACATCATCACTGGGATTCTTTCTGATGTTCGGCTGAGTGTCACCAAGGCAGGCGGGAAGTGGTCACCGAAGCATTAATACTGTAAATAACATAAACCTCATTCATGGATCTTTTAAATATGACATGATTGTTTCCATCATAAACACACAGCAGAGTTTAAACCAGGGGGGTTGTGTTTGGTTAACCCAGCCAGCCTGCCTTTCAGAAACTGAAACTAAAATATAATTTAAAAAGTATTTTCCCCTCTCAACATTGGGCTTGTAAAGGGCCGCTCTGTATCCATACAGGAAACACTCTTCTCTTAGGCGCTCTACATACAGTAACATACAGAGCACCCCGTATACATACTTTAATTTCCTTTCTTTAGTCCAACCTTTTTTAAATGTCTCTTCTTTAAATTCCATGATTGAGCGATTGTCTCGTTCTTAAATTTGACATTAACATTAAATTGCTGTATATACTACTACACTATGGTAGTACATACAATTTATACTTTGTCATAATTTCATTTAAATGTCAATAATATACCTACATAGAAATATATATGTAAATTCTTTATAATACCAAATATTCTCTATTTGTGATGTGAGAACTTATGGCGGGTTTATTTGGGTTGTCGTGATTTGTTTAAAAAGCGAGACACGGTTCAGCTGGAGAGAGACGTGTGCAGGGCGTTTATGGGATAGATCTTTCCTGGAGGAGAACCTGAATCTGTTCTTTTGGATTCACCGTAAAGAGAAAATATGCCAATAGCTTTATGGGACTTTAGGAGACACACAGAGGGTGAGAGAAACAGTAAGAATAGGGAACTTAACTGGAAGTCCTGCAAATTGACAATAATACTGAAACTATGGAGGAGTATGTGTGTGTGCATGAGAGACAGGATGGCCACACAGCTTCATACTGGCTATCGTAGTCTTCATCATCATAAACAAAGAGCTTCAGCTCCTCAATTAAAGTCATTATATCCAAATGACCACAGAATCACGTCCTGTTTTTTTTTTAGCTGTGCTACTCCTGCGGGCGGAGCCGAGCACCAGCTGGCTGGATCTGTTAGTTGGAGTTAGTAATTCTTTTAAAGAGTCCCAGGTGAACATTAACGTAGGGTTATCTGGGTCTCTGTCTGGGAGGAACCTGTCCCGAGGAAAATCAGAGCGACCGCTGGGCAGTTCACCGTAAGTCAGGTTTTATAGAAAGATGGTGGCATGCCCTTTCTGAGCCAGACTGAAGCAGCGGGGCAGCGAGTCTGTGCGGGGCGGAGGCTACACCAGCGTGTACGACTTGGAGTACGCCCCCGCGCTCTGTTTCTGCAGTCTCCCCAGAGCGGAGGAGCTGCTCTCCAGCAGCGAGTCTCTGGAGCCGCCCACCTTGTTGCAGTTGCTGCTCGTGCTGGAGGTGGAGGCCGTGGCCGCGGTGTTGGAGCTGGGCATGGTGAGAGTCCTCTGGGGGAGGGTGGAGGTGCCCGAGCTGGCCCCCAGGCTGCTCAGCCCGGAGTGGCCCAGTGTCAGGACCTGCTGCTTGCTGGGGTCTAGAGTCTTGTGGCGGCCCTGGGTGTGGTACGCCCGCTGCGTCAGGCTGCGGATGGAGGCTTCCCGCGGCGGCACCACTGGGCAGGGGTCGTGCAGCTCCCCTTGCTTACGGAAGAATGGGTCTGTCTTCATGTAGAGGGGGAGGTTGCAGAATTCACCTGAGAGAGGCGAGAGGTTAAGATTAAAGTCATTCATGGTTTCCTGTTTTAATGCAGTTACAGACTGAAACAGCTCCTGTGTCACACAGCAGGGCCTTCTTAACAGCAGACAGACTGTTTAACACGAGCGTCACATTATGAACACTGTGACCATCACCCCACACCTACAACACGACCATCCTGTATAATTTTATATATTTATAACATTTTAAAGCTTGCATCATATGCAATTATTTGAATTAATACTTTATTATTTATGTTTCTATTGCAATGTCGTTTCTATAACAACCATCTGTGAAATTATCTATGATCATATATAAATACATAGGTGCAAAGCATATATATGTTTATAGATATACTATTTTCACATTTTTGTTTAGTTTTATTTTAGTATGTGTTTTTTCCGTGTGCGTTTTGACTGTCCACAGCTGCTGTAAGAAGACAATATCACTGGTTTCTTCTTTTCTTCTTTATTCATGCTTTTATACCGATATACTAACCATCGTACTAACACATGTCTCGCTGGTTTTAAGTAGATTCTTAATATGTGTGAAAAGAAATCAAGCCTTTGCGTGTGATATGAAATCAAATCAAATCAAGTTTTATTTATATAGCATATTTATAAACAATTTTTGGTCGAGCCAAAGTGCTGTACATATAATAAAAATAGCCTACAGTAGAGACACTTTAAATATCAGTGTTACTCCTTGCTTCTCTGTGTAGCTTTAGGTGGCCTGGTCAACTGTGTACAGGTAATACCTTTCCCCACAGATTCTAGTTAATCCCCACTTCATATTTGTATTTGTTTGGAGAAATATCTATTCAAGCCCTATTGTATTTATTATTTGTAGTTATATATTTCCTACTTTGGATTTAGTCTCTTGCTTCCCATTACTCTCAGTCGTGTGTGTCAGGGTATGGCTGGTCCAAATAAAACGTAGTAGAAGCAAGAATCTGCCTCCACATTGAGTATCCTCACTGTGCCTGATCAAGGAAAAGTCCGATTTTCCTGCCTCCTTTGGAACTTACTTTTATTAGCGCGGTGGGGAATGGGCACCGCCACATTCTGCCGGCGGTCGTAGTCCTGCGGTTTGGGCGGCGAGGCGGTGAAGCGACAGATGCCGGGTTCAGACGGCGTGCTGAGCGAGGTCATGCTGTCCGCGGGGTCGTTGGTGCCGGTGGTCATCTGGTCGGACGAGCTGTCGGAGATGAAGCACTCGGTGATGGTGAACTTGGCGTGCTGCAGGTGCTCCTCCAGCTTGGCGTGCTCGTACGCCCGCGCCAGCTCCTCGTAGGTGGAGGAGGCGCTCTCTGTGGACACCATGCTGTTCCGACCCTTATCTGGAACACATACGTATTGTAAATGTATTAAAAAAACAAATATTTAATTTAAAGTGGACACAATTTCTGTTTGACTGATAAAATAACATTACTTATGATATTTTGTATTGAGAAAAGTAGGATGACCAGATACAGACCCTTTGGAGAAACTGAAACTGTTGAATTCATTTATGGTTTATGAATTTATGTGAGTGGGCAACTATATCCTTGTTTATTTTGATGTGTAACTTTGATGCTTATTGCAATGACACTATTTGTATATAGTCACTTTATTATCTGATATTTATTCCCCCTTTTTTCAGTGCAGTGTAGTTAGGGAGGTTAAAGATGGAATATATTTTCTCCAGTCTTTCATTTAGTAATTTGAAGATGCTGGATGGATGGATTAACATTAGACCACCCTTTGAAAACCCTTTCTAAAATATTCTTTTATACTACATAGGTGTATATTACATCACTAGTGGAATAGATTTGCCGTGGATGATTTAAATAGAAAATATTTAGAAAAGTGAATTTTTCTTATAGAGAACTAAAATATTTTCAGTAGATTTTTATCTAAGAACTGCCATTTGCTATACATTATTTTTAAAAGACATTAGTATAAAATAATGTTATCAATGTCGTCGAGCGATGGTTCCTGGCTGTGATGACCCACCTGTGTCCTGCGACAGGCTGGCGCTGTAGCTGTCGCTCTCCGTGGCGGTGATGCCGTGAGAGCCCATGGTCCGCCAGTCGGAGGTCAGAGTTCGGGCGGAGGCCGTCGATTGGCTCTGACTCGGCCGGCTCAGCGTCCATTGGCTGGAGTATCTGTTCCTGGAGCTGTGGGCGGACTTTATACTCTTCCTGGACACGGGGTCTGAGAGGGGATCAGAGGACAGCTCGGTGTTACAAACACTGTGTATCCATGTATCGAGCGAGAAGAAAGCTAGATACTGATTTTACTGACTCTAGTGGATGAAGTAGAATTCAATATGAGATTAGGGTTAGAGATTATCGATTTATTTCATTTGAAAGCTAATTACCAGTTTTGTCATGGTCGATACCGATAAGATAACCTCCATCACATAAATATATAAAAAAAATGACTTCATAACCTGTAGTTTATGCACACCTGAGGGTAAGAAAGGTTAAGATGCAGCGAGCAAAGATGGATGATTTATTATTACTTAGCTCGGAAATAACCAACCCTTCCTGATTGTCGTTAATTAACAAAAACAAAGAACATGTTTGTTTATCTAATTTTTTTCCTCAAGTACATCAAAAAACTTGTGTTGTCTCTCTGTGAAAAACATCCACAGCAGCAACTCTGGTTTTTTGTGTCCGTCTTCTCTGTGTTAATAGGCGGTTTACAAACTAACTTTATAAAAAAGGTTTGTAGACGCTGCGTTTGTCACGTTAAAGAAAGCCATTTTGCTTCGTATTTACATGCAGTTAATAGCATTAATGCATCAGGAATACATCATTATATTCAATTCCCAATATTTGCAGATAAAGCTCTCTTTGGATTTACCTGCTCTATTTATTTAGTGTACCGTCACATTTTTGCTTAGAAATACAAACTCACTCGTGCCTGGGCGGATGTCGGACATGTCGATCAAAGGCCCTGAGTTCTGGATGAGGGCCTGGTGGTGCAGAGACACGCCTGTGCAGAAGTTCTGCGGATTCACTGATTGGCTGAACTCAGTGTCTGTCACAGGCACTGCTGCCTTGTCCTCTCCTGTTGCAGGCAAAACATGAAGATAAACAGTTAGACAAAAAAAAACACACAATTAACACAAGCTAGAAGAAGTTTGTGATGCTGCCACATGCCTATTTGTTTGATTCCTTCCTTGTCCTCGATGAGTAGCTGGACACGTGGGATGTCAATGTGGAGCCTCGGCCCTTGAGGAGGGCCCTTCACCGGAGTGTCTATACTGCGATTGTTCTTGCTACACACATGGAAAAGACACATTTGGTCAGATTATTTTTGGGGTTGCGCCTACAAGATATATGACTTCCTCTTCACAGCAGGCATTAACAATAGCACCAAAAAAAAACGGTCTCTTACCTGATAAGCATCTCCGCAAGGCTCTTAGCATCTATAGGAAGACAAGATATTAGTTAGAGATTGTTTGGCCGTGAAGATACACTTCATTACATACAATAACACCGATCTCTGTCTGAACTACTCCTTTTCCCTGCCTCTCACCTCTAAGTCGTTTGAGCCTCTTCTCCTTGCGTTTCTTGCGGATAATAAAAAGCAAAGCGACGCCCAGAGTGACCAGGATGACGGGAGAGCCGATGGAGAACAGCTTCTTCACGTCATCCCCTTCTCCACGAGCAGATCTAATGGGAGGGATTGTACCTGCAGAAAGGAAGACAACCTTTAGAACAGAACATTCAGTGAGAGAGGCACTGAAAAATAAACATATGTCGGACACTCACTGCCGTCGTAGTCGGTGGTGGCAAACTGGGAGCTCTGGTTTCCGCAGCCGGCGCTGTTGCAGGCTTTCATCTTCAGCTCGTACCAGGTGGCCTCACGCAGCTCGCTGAGGAACAGCTGAGAGGTGGAGTTGGCTTTGAGGCTCTGCCACGCCCAGGTGCCTTTGGGTCTGAAGTCCAGCATCATGTCGGTGATGGGGCAGCCGCCGCTGGTCCAGCCCTGCAGGTTGATCCCTGCGTGGGTGGAGTTGATGTGTGTGAGCAGCGGCTGGTCCTTGTTGAATACCGGTTCTGTTCACAAGAGAGGAAAATACACATGTTAGAATGAAACTGGCAACATCATATATCTGAATTTATTTGTGATATTTCCATGAACACCTGGAAAAATACTGCTATTTGTATTTATTTAAATAGTATTAAGTAGGTGGAAAAGAGCAACCACAGGATTATTATTGGACTGACACATGTGTATATGCTCATGATCGGCATAAAGCATCTTAAAGGCAAATCACAACGCTTTAAAGTGGAACTAAGTCCATTTCCATAATTCATATATGTTATTTCTTAAGTATAGGATTGTCGGAAAATATTAGCAAACATGAACTACTCTCACCCAAATCCACAAACTATAGTGCTAAAACCTCAAATGAGCTAAATGCTAAATTGACAAAGAATTAGGAAAGATTGAAAAATAATATCCAAGGGGATTTTTCTCGGTATATGAGCACATTTTCTGTTCTTATGTTCACACATTTTGATTGGACTGTATTAGGCCATGGAAATAAAATATTGGAATTCCTATTTTAGGTGGCGTTCCCCTTTAAAACAAACACTAAACAGGACTGAACAGCAATATACAACTATATTCCTTTTGATGTCCCCAGATTGATATCTCTGGTCTCTTGCTTCATGCATGACTTCAACACGTTCCGTACCCCCCCTCACCTCTTCCATGTGTCTTGGCCTCGATGATCTCACTGATGCGTCCTGAGCCCACGCTGTTCTTGGCGGCCAACTTGACCTTGTACCAGGTTCCACAGCGCAGGTTGTCCAGCCTGAAGGAGCGCTCCGTGGAGCTGATGAACACGTCCCTCCACTCCTCCGTGTTGTCCACCGAGTACTGCAGCACAAATCCTGCAGAAACACCAACACAAGTCATTTAGAACAAGTACTGCACATTCAGGGAATTAAAACGTGGAGCATTCTCCCTGCTGCTGCATCTGTTGGACACCAGGGGGCAACCATCAGCTACAATCACTTTTAGTTTGTCTACTTAATGCCTAGAAATAGTGTTTACACTGTTATGTGCATTATAAATGTGTTGATGTAATTATGTAAACAATATCCTACTTTTAAAATGTAAATAATATCCTACTTTTAAAATGTAAATAATATCCTACTTTAACATTTTGTTAGCTGTAATTTGGCCTCTGACAGATTTGTATCTTTCACTGTCAACAATATTTTACTTCTTAGTTCTGCTTTTCTTTTCTATTTTGAGATATTTCTATTTTGCAGGTGTTTATGTATTACTTTTAACATGCTGCTGTGATGAAAACATTTCCCAAATTTGGATCAATAAAGTAACGCTTATTTTTTATCTCATTTGTATAAATGATATAACGAAGGTGAAGCACATTGAAAAATATCCGTCACAAAATCAGATAGATCTTTCGTTGGAGGGCAGGTGTTCCTCTGTTCACAGAAAATCTCACCTCTGATGGAGCTTCCCCCGTTGTCCCCAGGGATCCAAGCAAGGGTGATGGAGGAGGTGGAGGTGGTGGAGACGGTCAAGCGAGGCTGATCTGGAGGAACTGGGAGTAAAGAGAGAGAGAGACTCAGCAACAGAGCGGAAACACCACTAAACAAACACATCCTCCACTGGAGTTCCCCTTAAACACATCTCTCTCCTCACCTTGCACCACCAGGTTGACTATGATGGTGTCAAAGCCCAGAGTGTTAGTGGCCGTGCAGGTGTAGTACCCAGAATCCTCCGCTTTGACCGAACGCAGCACCAGTGTGCCGTTGGATAGGATCTGCCGCTGACTGTCCGCCGTCACCGGGATGGCAGTGTCGTCACTGAAGGAGCCAAAACAGATACAGATGTTATTGATCTCATCCCAGAGGAAAGTTCTCGGTGAGTCATGGCACTGACATATAAGAGGTAGAAGTTGATCTCTGACCTGTCTTTGGTCCATTTAATTGTGGGGGCGGGTTCTCCTACGGAGCCACAGGGAAGACGCACTTCCTTCATCCAGGGTGTGGTCACCGTGCCGCCGAAGGACAAGATCTTACCCGGGACTGTACACACACACACAAATAATCAATCTTTGACACACAGAAAGTGATAGATCTAATAAAATACATAAAAATACAATAAAATCAATACATTAAAAGAATGTGCTTCAGCAAGTGTCTCAACAAGAAGTTCGTCTTTGTACGTTCTGATGTGTATCTGCCAGTCAGCGCCGAATGAGTGGCCCAGTTTGCCTAAAGGCCTTAACTCACTGCTGAGGGAATAGAGAGCTGGTTTAGCGTAGCCCCTCCCCTGACCTCTCAGTGTCAGTCTATCTTTTCTTCATAGATCCTCCCCTCTATTGATTCTCTCCGGCTATCTCTCTCCCCAAGGGTCATTTTACTGGATAGGCCCTGTTCATCACCACATAATTAACAACAGCGTCTCTTGCAACACAGCCGCCACTCAATCAATAATACGGCTGTCAATCAATAACGGAGAGCGGGACGGAGTGCGAGGAGGAGCGCGAGTGATGAAAGTGATCTGTGTTAACGGGAGATCATGTTGCCGTTTCATAGCCATCTTAAGAGCGCGCTGCCTCATAACCTTTACAGAGATCTCTTTACCCTTCTCCTCCACTACAGGCTCGCCCGGAGGACCCACCTTTCCCAGCAGGCTCCACTGTGACCTTTGAGCTGATGTTGCCACGGCCAGCGGTTGTCACGGCTGCAGACCAGATGTGGTATTGTTTACCGCGGGTAAGGTGCGTGATGCGGTAGAAGAGCATCTCCGGGTTGGCCTCATACTCGCTGGGTGCCTGGGACAGAGGGCACGCAATATCATGTTAGAGAAGTATGATGAGACAGGGAGAGGACAGCAGGGGGGCAGCTCCTGTACTGGGAACTCTAGCAGCTTAAAGATGCATTACAGGTTATACTTTCAACCTTTTCAAGTGGGTATGACACATTTAATATCAACCTTTTTGTGATAATGTGTCATCCCATTAGAAAACATAGCAAGTAGTAGCAGTAGAATTGTCAATGTTCAAGGTGTTTGGTTTTGTACATTATATGCTCCCACATTATAATAACTGTGCTTTCCTGTCTAAGGGCTACTGTGTGTGTGTGTGTGTGTGTGTGTGTGTGTGTGTGTGTGTGTGTGTGTGTGTGTGTGTGTGTGTGTGTGTGTGTGTGTGTGTGTGTGGTCTAGCATTACTATACTTGTGGGGACCTAAATCTGTTTACATAGTCACGTGTGGGGACTGGCTTCCCTTATGGGGACAAATTGGAGGTCCCCATGAGGGGAATCATTAATTTTAGGGTGAAGACTTGGTTAGGTTTAGGGTTAGGGTTAGGGTAAGGTTAAGGGTAAGGGTTAGGCATGTGTTGGTTATGGTTAAGGTTAGGATAAGTCTCCAGGAAATGCATGTAAGTCAATGTAATGTCCCCTGAAGTGATGTATACATGGTATGTGTGTGTGTGTGTGTGTGTGTGTGTGTGTGTGTGTGTGTGTGTGTGTGTGTGTGTGTGTGTGTGTGTGTGTGTGTGTGTGTCTGTAGTAGCTGTATCTGTTCCACCAGTGTCCTTCTTTCTTTTATATATTGGCTTGCGATCCGCCAATAGACAGAGAGAAAAATAATTGAAACATCTGCCCATAAGTCATTCTCACAGCTTTCAGGTTCATTTTAATTCATGTTTTATGAAACAAATACAAATTAAATAATCAGATTTAATTTTTTTAGTTTACAGTTCACAATAAACCAAAAATAAATGACGTTTTACCTTGCCTGTGAGATCTCTGAGTGTTTAATTTATGTTTAATTAGATATATGAAATAATATTAAAGTCTTAGATTATCAAAACTTTCAAGCCTTGTATTTGTTTAAGAATGATTTAGCCGTCTTTGATATACTGTAAACACTTTATGTGTAACTGAAATGTATGTAATTCCCTTTTGCTTTATTTAATTTAAGCATTGCGATGTTTAATTTGTCAAATGTTTGTATTTCTGCTGTGTGCACAGTATCTGCAGGTTCTCTGAATGGAGACGGAGGCCGCTCTCAGCCTGGAATGACCTCTCTATGGACTCTATTGATTAAAAGGATGATAAATGGAAATGTCATTTAGATTGTAGTGATTCACTCATTGATGAATTTATTTACCTTCGACACCCAAGTTAAATGTTTTAAGTGAGTGACAATGTTCTTTAACGTTTTAGATGTAAAACCACAATGTATTTATAAATATGGTAATCTAAATGTAACAGTTGTGACGAAAAACTGTAGCATAAATACATTGACAAATAACAAAATGTGTTAAGATGGGTTATTGGGTTTCCCCTTTTTTTTAACAAAACAGAATAGAGCAGATCACGCCACTGGTCTAAATGAATTGGAAAGAAATGAAATGATTTCACCTCGCATACACAAAAAACCCCGTCATTTTAGGACTCAGTGCTGGATTAAATGATGTGTTCCTGTAGATATTTTCCCTACAAACTCATCTTTGAGAAAACATTCACGCACGCACACACACCTGCGGGCACGAAAACACACACATGCCAACACGCTCGCAAAAACACGGTTCTCTCTCAAGTCGATCCTCTGTTCTATCTCTTTAATCTGTTCATCTCTCAGTGCTCATCTTCAGTTTCTTCACCATTTGCTTTCCCCCCTCTCCCTCGACCCCCCTCTGTCTAGCTCAGTGAAGAGGATGGAGGAAGGAGGGAGGGAGGATGTGTGTGTGTGTGTGTGTGCGTGTGTGTGTGTGTGTGTGTGTGTGTGTGTGTGTGTGTGTGTGTGTGTGTGTGTGTGTGTGTGTGTGTGTGTGTGTGTGTGTGTGTGTGTGTGTGTGTGTAGGGGGTGCGTTCGAACATTCCACCAGCATAGCGGAGGTGTTGTGGTGATCCAGGGAGTGATACAGGGAGATAATGAAAAGACGGACAAAAGCACTCTCATCTCGATGTGACTGATACCCTCCTCTGCTCCTCCTTTCCCTCTCTCCCTCATCTCCCTGTTTTCCTCCCATTCCCCCCCCCCAGTCTCTCCCTACCTCTAATGGTGTTTCTCTTTCCCTCTCTCTCAACCTCCTTCCTCCCCCCCTCCTCCCTCCCTTCCGCTCTCCTCCCTGCCTGTCCTCATTTACATGGCACTCATGCACAGAGAGGGAGGAGTATTTGTGAATAATAAGAAAGTGAGATTCTATCCTCATATCAGATTTCACTCTTCTTGTTAGTGCGGGTGTTTGTGTGCGCATGAGATCTCAACACAAGTGAAATGCCGCACACACGTGTATAAATAGAAACATTTTGAAATGTGATGTCTGTGTGTGTGTGTGTGTGTGTGTGTTTCTGATGCGGCAGTGTGCATGTGTGAGCTTGCTCTCCGCTTCATTTGCATATCTACGTCTCATCACGTTGCCAAGACAACCTCATCTGTTCATCTGGGAGGGCAGGAAATAAAGCGATGGTGCAAACACGGTGAAAGGGAGATACTCGTAAAGATACACGCACACACACGTACAGGCCCAATTAACAGAAGTGGTTACAAATTATTAATTTCCACTAGTGGATTTTTATCAAGTTCACAGATTGCTAGCCTCTCAATCTCATGGAGCATTTTTTTGAGTGGCCCCTTACGAGACACGCCCACAGAGGAAGGACTCACCGGCTGCAGAGACCCCGGGCTGGAGCAGTAGATGGTGTACTTGCGGATAACACCGTTTGGTTTGAGTGGCGGCAACCAGGACACGACCACACTGTTCGGAGAGGAGGGGACCGCCTTGATGCCCGCCGGTGGACCAGGAACTGTAGAGAACACATAAGGGAACATCAGCAAATGCATCTGTTTTTGTGTCGGGTGCCCATTAAAGTGAGCAGGCTTGTTTGCAGATTGCTAGTCTTATCCCGCACTAAGCCGCTCTGGGAGGACTTGGATGAACTCCCTTTGGGTGGACGGTGGTGACATATGTTCGCTCAGACACTGGTCAGCACTTCTGACTCTGTGACACCCAGCTTTCTCTTAACTCGCAAACAGATTAGACACTTAGCGCCTGATCCTCCGCTAGCCACTTAAGCTGGACACTGGACACCACTTAATACGCTCATTGCAGTCTAAAGGCGTAAGAAGGGTTTAAAACGGATGAAGAAAGACACATCGGGACGCTGGATACTGTTGAAGGTGAACAATGAGGCCTTTGTCGCATTGGCTTTACACTATTTGGTTCTCAGTGAGAGGACTATTCACCCACCTCCATAAATATGACTTTCACTTGACAGTGGGCCTCATCTGGGGCCTAAAGAAGCGACGTCAAAACTCTGTAAATTCAACCCCCTATCCCTCTTTTCTTACACGTGAGGCCCCGGGTCATTCACAGGACTCCTTTATCTTGCACCTTACATGAGATAAAAGGGATGAAAACAAAAACAGACAAGATGTAGTGAGGGAGGTTTTAAAAGAGGGAGGCGTGGAGGAGAGAATGGCAAGAGTGATAGGTGCAGCTCCTGGGGGAGTGATGATGGTGGTGGTGGTGGTGGTGGTGGTGGTGGTGGTGGTGGTGGTGGTGGTGGTGGTGGTGGTGGTGGTGGGGAGGGGCAGGGGCAGGGTAGGCAGTCATCATTATCATATCTGGACCTCTATGTCAAAGTAGGAGTGGCAGTGGGAGGGGGGAGAGTTAAGTCCCATCTGGTGCCCAAAATCTGCCCAGGCCTCCAGACAGACACACAGCCTGCACGGCCCGGTGATAACGAGGGAGCGAGGCACGATGATGCTGAGCAAAAATCCCCAACTACATGAATACATAATTCACTGCTGGGCCAATCAGAGGAGGGTGTGTCACAGGAAAGGGAGGAAACGCTCAGCTAAATACCAGAGAGCGCTGCAGTCTAATTTAAATTGGCTGAGAAAATGAAATCCTCGGCTTTGACATTTCTATTATCTTTTTTTTTTTTGGAGGATGGCTTATTCATTTTTTTTTTTCAGCCCGTGTGATCACCTTTCTATCTTTCCATCTTCCACCCTGAGGCCCCTCCTCCTCCCCCTCCTTTATAAAGAGACATGGATCCGTCTGTAATCCCGCCTCCAATGGTGTAAACAGAACATTAATTCTCTCTAATCCAAGAGGAGTTAATCCCTCTGCCTATGGCAAGAGGCTGGTGGAGAGGATGCGGGGCCCGGGCTGATGGCTGACTCCTGCATGGTATATGCTCCGAGGGGGCACCCCCCCTCTCCCCCCCTCTACCGCCTGCCCCCCCTCAGTCCTGAGCCGAGACCCAAAGCCTCTTAATTCTCATTAGCACCACTAATGGAGCTTCGCAGCATAAATGAGCTTTTGTCATGGGTTTGAGATACAGCCCAGCACTCTTTTTTATATATCCCCCTCCTATCTCCCACCCCTCCTTACCCTCACCCCATATTCTGCGCATGCATACCTTCAGCATTTTTTCCACACTAAAATATATTTAAAAACAAGTTAAAGGCTGACATTTTCTTTATAGTTTCTACTTCTGTGAGTACTCACGGTCCTCGCGGGTCTGGATGTACAGGACGTTGCTGCGGACCCCGTCCCCCGCCTGTGTGTAGGCCAGCACCTGGACGCTGTAGTTGGTGAACTTCTCGAGCCCTCGCAGCTCCACCTGTTCCCGTGTGGTGGTGATGTTCTGCATCTCCCCCCATTCTGAGGACGGGATGAGAACAGGAAGGTTATCTGATGGAACGATAACTAACTCCATCTTCTACAAAATGTATTTATATTCTACCAACTTGCTTTGCTAAATATGTTTTGGAGAAAATATGAGGACTGCCTGGATTACAAAGCAGCAGTTTCAGCGAAGATATGAAGGGTAGATTAGTGGCTGTTTAAAGTTTAAAACATTAAAGCAGTTAAAGTGTCAGATTTGCAGGCTGTGTTTTGCGTAATTTGTTTGTGGTTAAGAAAAGATTAAGGTTTTGGTTAAATAATGAAAAAGTCAACACACAATTATTCCCTAACCTTAGTGTTTCAGAAGCCTGACCATAACCATGGAAAGGTATTTGTTATGCGTTTTGTTGCGCTTTATCGTCATATGCCCAAAACATATTCTCTATTGCAAATTAGTTGAATATAAACCTTTTTTAAGGACTCAAGGTTTAACACACAAAAGGAGCAAAAACACACACACACACACACACTACTGTAACTGAAATCTCATCCCTTTAATATGGATGATGCTAAAAACAACTGGGACTGAAACAATTGGGAATAAATTCAACGACATACAGGAACAGGAAGTGCTTTATGCGGAAGGTGTGGACACACATTACCACGTTGTGACGCACGACACTGACACAGAGGCAGGTGGGTGGGAGGGTGGGGTTTTTATTTTTGGTGACATTTAGAATGAGATAGGTGATAATTACTCTGCAATGGCCACTGGGCCTGGCCCCCACAGCACCCACCTCCGTCGGGGAAGAGGGACCAAAACACAACGCGGTAGCCTTTCAGCACACCGTGCAGCGTCAGCCGTGGAGGCTCTGACCACGTGATCACCGCCTCGTCCGACGTCACGGAGATGGCTCGCACGTTCTGAGGAGGCTCGCTGGGAACTGGAGAGAAAGGGAGAGAGGGTTAGAGATACAGGGTTTAAAAGTACATTATTACATTATTTTATTTCATTATTAATAGTTCACATTTGTAGCAATTTATGTCCGGAATGTGCTAAGTAATGTAATGCATCAGTTTTTGTGATTGTAACAACAATGGAATTCCCACATTTTTCAGTCATACAATATTGCAGCTTCTTTTTATTTAAACTTTTTCACACACACAGACCTTATGGCAGCATTTGTGTGAAATTCTGGATAAAACTAGCTTATACCTTATATACAAAACAGTCGTGAGTCTGTTTTAACCATTTCTACTTGTTTCTACTTATTTGTACTAAAATATCCTTGCTGTTGCTAAGAAGAACTGACTGATCCAGCATGGCGGCTGAAGCACATATAAAGAATGACTACTCAACACCAACAACCCACAGGCAATCTCTGCTGAAACAAATCAGTCAAATAAGCTCAAATTAGATCTCAATGGCTCCTTGTTCAGCGCTAGCTTTTAGAGCACAGAGAGGAGGGGGTCGGAGAAGGGGAGGAAGAGAGAGAGCAATGTACGTGAAAAGAAAAACCGTCACACCTTAAGGGGTTAAATGCAGATGAGGGTGAGCTGAGAGGTGGAGGATACAATCTGAAGGAAATCTATGTTCGTCTAAAATCACTGACACTATTATTATTATTATTACTGTGTGTATCATTACTGTCCACACAGACAGGAAGTGGTACATATATTTCTATCTGCAGTGTTTGAAAAATATATTAAATCAAAAGATGTGAAATAGACAGAGGGAGGATGAGGAGGAAGAAGGAGAGAGGCAGAGTGGGCAGACATTTAGAGAGAAATGGGGTTCCTGATTCCTCTCTCGCTCTCTACCAGCCTAATGAGGGTGCTAATTAAAGACAAAGGGAGAATGGGGGATGTGCTGCAAATTCAGTTTTACCTTTCCCTTTTTCAGTGATTTCAATCTATATCATATTTGTCTGTCATCCTGTTGCTGCATTTTACTTTGTTTTCCATTCTTTTTGACAAATTAACATTTGAGGCGTTTTACCCTCACATACTTCCACTTTCTCTCGTGTCGTGTCTAATTTAGCTTCTTCTTTCTATCTACTGTAGTTTTTTTCCATCCTTCTCCCTCCTCTTACCATCTTCCAGCGTGGTGGCGTTGATCTCAGTACTGGATGGACCTGTCCCGGCCCTGTTGAAGGCCTGGACCACTACCCCGTACTGGGCATACTTCTTCAGGTTGTCCAAGGTGTACACTTCACTGTCCCCCGTAGCTTTCATCTCCACGATGCTGTACTGGCCGTTGCTGCCCGGACCGTTCTCTCTGTAACCGATCTGGTAGCCTCGGATCACCCCGTTCTGCAACTCCTTCTTCGGAGCCTGAAACAAACGTAGTAATAGAAGTTAACAATGAAGTGCATGTCAAACTATAACCCTGATTAGCTGCATTCAAATCACTGGTGAGTGTAAGATGTCCAGTATTAACAGCACACATCAAAACATGTTCTGATGTCTTAAAATAGTACAATTGTCAGCATGAAAACAATTATATCCTATTATTTACATCATATTTTTTCACTTTCTTTGAGTTAAATCTTTTCACCAAGTTCAGTCCTGGTCATTATTGTCTGTTTGTTCACGTAATGCCACTAGTTTTTTATTAAAAAAAATAAAACAAGGCAAACTAAATAAATGAAAAACGAATTAATTCAGTATACTAAATGCGAGATATGTCAAATATTATTATCATTATTATAGAATACGAGGTAAATGGCTTGCACTTTTCAAACATGAAAAAAATTGCATAATCTGGTGCAAAATAGTAAAAAGTAAAATTCTAGATAGAAAGTCTGATACAACATGCAATAATGTATGCTTTTATGCTATGGGCTTCTTAAGGGGTTCTTGTTAACACTTAAGAGTGTTTGCTTTTTGTTCACTCAGTTTATAATTTACCTATTAAAGGAGCTGAGGTTGAACAAAGAAGAACCCTTTACAAATCAGAAGGCACAAGGGTTAACATTTAAATGAAGCGAGGTGCAGACAGGTGGTGTATGGGTTCTCTGTGTATAATAACATGTATAGCAGTGACTTTACCCTCCATGTAACACGTATGCTCTGGGATGTCATCGGTGTGAGGATGACTTCCATCGGCGGCCCATCAGGAGCTGTTAATGGAAGATGTCAAATAAAGTGTTACTATGAATATTCCTATCGCTCCTCCATACAGAAATAAATGTTAGGCACACATAGAGAAAGAGTTATTTCTAGACAACGAAAACAATCACTCACGTGCTTCCTCAGTACTGATGGTGAGCTCTTTGCTGGGGAGGCTGCGGCCTATCTTGTTGTAGGAGTACATGCGGATGCTGTAAACGCAGGCCGGGTGCAGCTCCACGATGTTGGCCTGGTTGTTGGTGGGGGAGATGTTCCTGGTTGTGTACATGTGATCCCAGGTATCTATGAAATACAAACAAGATTTGAGATGTAAGCAAATGTATCTTAAAGACATTTGACAAACAATTTGAATTAGGAATACCAACCTGACTTGTTCTTGTACTCGATGTCATAGCTGGTGATGATGCTGTTTCCATCGAACCTTTGGATCCAGCGCAGGTTCATGCTCCTGTCCTTCACCTCCCTCACCTCCAGTTCAGGGGGGTCTGGTGGTTCTGTGTGAGAGACAGAGGAGGTGAGTGCTCTTCACCTGCAGTATTTCACTGGAGATCTGATTCCAAAATGTTATACATGAACTGCGTTATAAAGCCTAATGTTCAGTACGTCTTCAGGCGAGTATGTGGTGGAAATACCTTGCACAGTGAGTTGGATGAGCCCTCGACCCTCTCCATAGGAGTTGATGGCGTGGCAGGAGAAGAAGACAGAATCCCCTCGCTCGGCCGGGTTCAGCTGTGAGCATAACAGAAAAACGTTACAATGTGCCAGATCGATCATCCAACCATAATGGTAAATTCTGCACATTTCCCCCAAAGTTAGGAGTTGAGAATAACCACTATTAATGAATGGTGCATTTATAGTTATTTCAACTTTATTATACATTTGTGTAATATAACATAAATGATATACTGTATCATAGCTGATGTGTGGCAATCATTATTTTAATAACATTAGTTTACATTAGCTTATTTACAGTTTATTTGTAAAACATATTATTCATTTGTAATTCTTTTTTTTTTTGTGTAAAATGTGTACACCTTTAAGATATTGTTAAACCATGGACCAGAAGCCATTTATAAACCTAAATAACTTTTTAAACATGGATTACATAGTATTTATTAACCATTTTCAAAGGTATTATAATCATCAGTTGCAGCTTTAGACAAGCCATTCAAATCATGTTTATGAACGGTTAACAACCCAATTATGAACCATTAACAAAGCGTGTCAAATATCTGGTAATCATTTGGTAATAACTAACAAAAACGTAACATGGCTATTACCTTTTTATAATGTGTGCAACAATACAAAGTTAAAATAATATTATTTATAGCGAGAGTAATCATTGTTAATGATCATTTAATTGTTTTTGAACAGTATCATAACTGATGTTGTGATTACAATAAGCTGAGTTCAGGGTCTGCTCTGTGTTGTGTTCACTGTCTGTTCACCTTAAGCGTGGAGATGACTTCGTCCCCCTTCTTGTTGATGGTTATGGAGTAGCGGGGGTTTCTCTCGGCGTCGATGACTGTGTCCCCTCTCTCCCAGCGGATAATTATGGGTTGCTCTCCGCGCGCCGTGCAGTTCAGCTCCTTGGTCTGGCCCTTCCTCGCCATGGTGGTGTTGGGGTGGCTGGTGATCATGGCGGGAACTGAGCAGAATGGCACACGTATGTCAGTGTGACGGATGGTATTATATGGAGTAATGAGACGAGGAAACACGGGGATGTGGTATTGGAAAGCGAGGATATATTACAGATGTATAGACATCTCTATTTCTGCGCTGCGTTCCCCATTTTCATTTCACGCTTCAAGCCCTGCTCGCTGTCTCCCTGCCTTCTCCTTCTACTCTTCTCCTTTCCGCAGACATAGATTATTGATTGAAGGGGTTCCTGCGGTTTTGTTTTCATCACTAATTCATCAGCCCCTTTCCCCACCAAAAAACATTGAGAAGCACACAGACCGGCAGCCGGAACACATCAATCGATAGCAAAGATACCCTCAGTTAGTGATGCGCAGGACGGAGACAGGGTTTAGTGAGGTTCAGTGCAGGCCACACTAGCCTGGGGCAAAAGTGCATCCTTCCCTCCAAAAAGCTAAACCTTGTCTCTGTGTACAGTATATGTGCAATCCAGGAGATGTGGTTATGAAAGTGAAAGAGAGTATGTTGGCCCTTACTTTTGACGGTGAGGATCATGCTCTTACTGATGTCTGAGCCCACGCCGTTAGAGGCTTGGCAGAGGTAGTAGCCTCGGTCGTCCTCCAGCACGTGTCGGATGAGCAGAGAGCCGTTTGACATGATCTGGATTCGGCCAGTGAGAGGGACTGGGTGGTACTGCTGAGGGTTTCCTACACCTGCACCACAAAGAACACGCGTGTTAGTGCTGGTTCTTTTCTTGTTTTCTGTTTCTGTTATGTTGTAGGCAGTGATGATGTTACCTTTTGCATGCTTCCACATGACTTTTGGAGGTGGGTAACCCTCCACAGAGCAGTTGAGAACTCCAGCTTTGCCGTAGATGCAGTCTTGATTGTTGGGCTGCACCGTGAAGCGTGGAGGCACTGAGAAACAAAAAGATGAGATTAACCTCAATGGAAGGTCTTACAGTAAAAAGGTAGAACATGTAAGTGTTGATGTGACATTTCTAAGCTTCCAGTGCACATTAGATATCTGATCTGACCTAATTCATCATCATTCTCTCCTTGCTCAATCCCTCACCAGTTACTATCAGCTGCCTCTCCCAGCTGACGGTGGCGGCGGCGTTGCTGGCGATGCAGGTGTAGTTTCCGTTGTGCTTCAGTGTCACCTTGGATATTTGCAGGGAGCTCATGAACTCTTTGGTCTCTATAGCGACGCCAGAGGCGGAGCCTGGCACGATGAGCTGGCCGTCTTTGTGCCAGGTGATGCGTATGGGCATGTCCCCAGATGACACCACACAGGCGATGTACATGAGCTTCCCCACTGAGGTAGAGGGGATGTCGAAGGGCTGGATGAGCGGCGGCACTGGGGGAGAGAGGAAGAGTGCGGAGAGTCAGCGAGATGAAGGTAGCGATAGACGAGGAAGAGTGGCAGTGTGGCCATCTGGAGCAATGCTGAGAGAGAGGGAAGGTCATTGGCCAGTGGGCCTCTCTTCCTCTCCCCCCCACCACTCTTCAGCCCCCAGCTCCTGAAGCCCATAATAGCTGCTCTGGTTAGAGTCCAATTGGCAGGAGGAAGTCATCCCGTTGCCATAGTAATGGAGGTTGGGGTGGGGGTACTACAGCTGAGACATCTGGGGGATTTAATCTAGGCTTCATTATTATTCATCTAATTAAATCAGAGACACACTCACATGCACGCACATGCACACACACTTACACACCTCTGCAGCTGCCCCGCTACCATCATCACCCGCTCGCCGACTAAACAAAATGCAGGCGCACACCGAGACATAAATCTGTCCTAAACACCATCTACCTCTGTAAACAACTTTGTACACTGCTGTATCATGGTGGTAGGGTTTAAGTACTCTGATATCCAGACATCTCTATATCTAACATCTGGAAACTGCACCAGACCAGTCTGTTTTTATTATTTCTAAAAGGAAAGGCAGAGAACTAATGTTTACTGTGTTGGCTTTGATTTCATTCTCACTGGGTCTATCATGATAATTACACAGACCTAACTGCGATAACAATATGAGTTGTTTTAAGACTATTTAATGCAACTGACATATTGATAAAATAATAGCATAAAAATGCAAGTACTAAACATATTCTTACTGTTTAAGGTAACAATTGAATAAAACTAAACAGCGAGAAATTGTGAATAAAATGGACTATCTTACAAAGGGGGCAATGTCTGTATTGAATGGTCTTGATGGTAGGGTAAAGCCTGCTGTTTATTCTGCCATCATGTTGGCTCGAGGTTGTGCATATATATATAGATAGTACAATAATCTGATAAGGTAAAAGTTATTGTGACAGGCTTATTCCTCACTACTGTTTTAGGGATGTTTTGTATACAGTGATGCCCACAACAAGCAAGATGACCTCTTTTGAGGAAAGAGGCCAAAGCTACAGTCAATCCCTAGCAAGAAGTCCTTGGTGGGTCACTCTATCTGAACTGATTGGGTGTATTTGACCGGAAAACATTGCCCTGTGCGTTTTTTATCCCTTTGAGTCCATTCTTGCCTTCTCACCTTTGACAGTGACGTGAACGGTCTGGTTGATTGACACCTGGGGCTGGATCAGAACGCTACACAAGTAGGTGCCCTCGTCCGCGCCCTTCTGCACGTCCGTCAGCCTCAGCGTGCCGTTCTCAAACACCACTTGACGATGATTATCGGGCAGCTGCATGCCTTCCTTCAGCCACTTGATTGAGTAATACGGGTAGCCAATCACCCGACACGTTATGTAGGTGTTCCTGCCCGCCACAGCGGTGATGTCCCGCATGGGTCTGATTCGGGGTGGACCTGGAGACACAGGGAAGAGAGGGAGGGGATGGAGGGAGGAGACAGAGAGAGAGGCAGAGGTCGGGGAGAGGGGCAGATGAGGTGAGGGAGGCCATGGCAGAGTCAGGGAGCAGCCACGGAGACGAGAGGAGGTGAGGAGATAAAGTTTGAGGGATAGAGTGATTGGGGCAAGTTGACAGGTGGAGAGGGAGGTTAGTTATGCTCCCTTTACTAAAGTCGGATTGAGGATATTTGTTGATTGTAATCTAATTAAATAGTCTGTGTAGCCAAGTAATTCTGTGTATTTTTCTATCTGACCCTCATCTAGATAGACAGATAGATAGATAGATAGATAGATAGATAGATAGATAGATAGATAGATAGATAGATAGATAGATAGATAGATAGATAGATAGATAGATAGATAGATAGATAGATAGATAGATAGATAGATACGTAGATAGATAGATAGATAGATAGATAGATACGTAGATAGATAGATAGATAGATACGTAGATAGATAGATAGATAGATAGGTAAATTGATTGATAGAGAGATAGATAGATAGATAGACAGATAGATAGAGCTGTAGATAGATATATATATATATATATATATATATAGATAGATAGATAGAGAGATATATAGATAGATAGATAGATAGATAGATAGATAGATGGATAGATAGATAGATCTGTAGATCGATAGATGGATTGATAGATTGATAGTCAGATAGATAGGTAGATAGATATAGAGATAGATAGAGAGATAGATGGATAGATAGATCTGTAGATCGATAGATGGATTGATAGATTGATACATCTGTAGATAGATAGATAGATAGATAGAGCTGTAGATAGAGATATATATATATATATATATATATATATATATATATATATATATACTGTATATATATATATATATATAGAGAGATATAGATAGATAGATAGATAGATTGATAGATCTGTTGATAGATAGATAGATAGATAGATAGATAGATAGATAGATAGATAGATAGATAGATAGATAGATAGATAGATAGATAGATAGATAGATAGATAGATAGATAGATAGATAGATAGATAGATAGATAGATAGATAGATAGAGCTTTAGATAGAAAGATAGATAGATATACAGATAGATACATACATACTGTGTGAAATGCAAAGTGATATTTGACACTAACTAGCCCTCGTGTGTTTGTTTTCAGTCAGGTGTAGGGTGCAGTTATATTGAAAAGCAGACAGGCACCTCTTACGTTTATGCGCGCTTGGTACTCGGCGCTACCGGCCGAGTTGCGTGCGACGCACCGATACACTCCCCCATCCCGGATGAGCGGGCTGCTGACGTTGACGTGCGACACGGTCAGGCCGTCCGACAGCGTGTACTGGCTGGTCTTGTAGGTGGAGTCTCGCACCACGGCCTCGTCATCCAGCGTCCAGGTGATGGAGGGAGGCGGGGCTCCTTTGGCGCCACACATGAGGGAGAAAGGCTCGCCGGGGTTCACCACGCGCTCGCTGAAGGAAGACACAATACGAGGAGTACCATCTGAGGGAAGAGAGAAAAACAAGACACATAATGGTCAGAAAGCAGGATTTAGATCTGTTTATGTCTAAAGCAAACTGATTTATGTGTCTGCTCAATGACACTGCTGTGTGATGTCCTATTTATGCCTCTATCAATGACATTTGCAATTTATGCACAAGTATTTAGATAAAGAATAAACGTAATCTGCAAAAGAAGAGGAATCAAAATCAAAGTCATCTGTCATTTTGCTCTCCTTAAACTCCTAAAGACCCATCAAAACAGAATTTACACTTGTTTATTTCCCCGCCAGTCTCTGTCCACATACCCTCTAGCAGAATAATGGAAAAGTCCTGAGCGGTGTGGCCCTTTCGGGAGGCGAAGCACTGGTAGGCCCCGGAGTGGAACTTCTGAGCCGCAGTGATCTGCAAGGTGTCGTTGTGCTGCCCCTGGATGGAGATGTGCTGGTCGGGGACGATGGGCTCCGTGTTGCTGTACCAGCTGATGGTGTATTCTGGAGAGCCCTCCACAGTGCAGGTGAAGAACAGCGTGCTGCTGATGCCAGTCTTCAGGTTCTTAGGGGACAGGGTGACTCGTAGGGGATCTGGGAGAAAAACGCAGATTGTTTGTTAGAGCAATAATTGAAAACACACACAAAAAACAACCTTTTACATTGTTCGGATTTCCATTTTTTATGTTGTGTTTCGCAGAGAACTGCTTGTAAAAAAGCTATATAAATAAGTTAAGTTAAGCATGAGTGTGTATACATTTTGCTTGACTCCCCTTTTATATTCCATTTAGTATTACTTAGACCTTTTACACCGGAAACTTTATAAAATAATTGTTGTTTTTGTTCAAAGATGAATTAAAAAAGTTATACAATTCTGTGGTATCCCTGTGAAGTGTTTCATAAACATAAATAGCTTATTAGTTGTCCATTGTTCATTTATCATTAGTTAATATCTTGGGTATTAAGGCTTCACAAACCAGTTATCATCCAATAAATACATTTTATATTTCAGAGTAAATATGTTAGTTATACTCTGCTAATTTAACTTCCTGTATTTAGACATTATATCAATTTGCAAACATTACATTTGCAAAACATTAACAATTGAATTGATCCATAAACATTTTAAATACTTTATTTAGTATGTTTTATTGTCAAGTACCAATTGCTCTTTAATCTTTCAGCTGGATTTACAGTGCTTCACATGGAATCATACATACTATAGGCGTTAGTGTTACTAGAGATGGGGAGGACGAGAGATAGCACAATCAGCGGCGGTGACTCAATCAGATGGACGCACTCATTAAAAAAGCAGCTGGAGATATCTCTTCACATCTCTGTCCACTTATGTGTGTGTGTGAGAGAGTGTATGTATGTGTGTGTGCAAATGTCAGTGAGCAATAAGGCAGCTGGTGGTGTGTGCTGGGGGGCATTGCTGTGCCCCCCCCCCCCTTACCCTGTCAGAGTCACAGAGTGTGCTGCCATGATGTGCCCACTGGCAAAGCCTACCGCCTCTCTATTCTCCCCCTCTGTCTCGTCTTTTCCCGCTCTTTTGTTTCTTTGTATACTTCACACAATGTACATTTATCTCCGCCTCTCTTATTATCTTGTTATTACATGGTGGATAATGTCATTCCGGAACTGTCTGGATGTCTGATCGTCCCTCCCGTGACCCCCTCGTATTTATCCCCGTCCTTCCTCCTCACCCTCCTCCCTGATGGTGAATGGTGCTGGCAGCTGTGTTACGGATCCAGTCTCAGTGAATTACTGCCCTGCCTCTCTTTTTGAGAGCTGATATGACGGGGCAATCATACAGCTCACACACATGTTTGTTACAGACACACTCGAGGTGCGACTTGTATGTGTGCCTCCAACCAAAAGGAGAGGAGTTTGAGAATGTGTCCGTCTGCCAGGCTGATTCACCGAAAAGACAGCGTGGGAGTCTTTTAGCAGTGTGTGTGTGTGTGTGTGTGTGTGTGTGTGTGTGTGTGTGTGTGTGTGTGTGTGTGTGCGTGTGTGTGTGTGTGTGTGTGTGTTTGTGTGTGTGTGTGTGTGGTTGTGCTCACACACCTATAACGTGAAGCAGTCCAGACACCTCCTTTGAGCCAAAGCTGTTGGTGACCTCGCATGCATAGCTGCCGCTGTCCTCCTGCCTCAGGTCGCTGATGGTCAGCCCCGTCAAACGCCGTGTCCAGCGGGCGTCCGAGGGGAGTGGGCGACCGTCTTTTAGCCAGCGCACCGTGGGGGTGGGATACCCTCCCGCTGTGCAGGGGAGCTCGATACTCTGGCCTGCGTTCACCTCGCCTGCTTGGAAACTGTCCAGGATGGTAGGGGAGGACTCGTTTGGGTCTGGAAGGAAAGAGGTGGGGTCATTTTTTGGTTCAAGACAAAGAGTGAGTCCATCATGAGTAAACTGACAGGCTACTCACCCATTACAGAGAGCCTGACTCCGTTGCTTTGGCGCGTCTCGCCGCTGTACTTATGTCTGGTGATGCACCGGTATGTGGAGAGGGCGTCCTCCTTCTGAACATCGGAGATGTAAAGAGCCCCGAAGGAGGTCAGCGAGAACCTGTTACCTGCGGAAGACACATCCATTAAAGACTTACATTAATACCCCCAAAGGAAAACTGCTGACAGACAGAAACACGCAGTAAAAAACCTGCAGCAAGATGATCGCTCTGCTACAAATGCATTGTGCTCATTGCAAAACCGTATTGTGCTAAGAACAAACAGCTGCCTGAACAGTTGGCAGTACCTGGCTGATAATGTTGCCTACCAAAACCTGGCACTCTTTCAAGGCCTGGAGGACACACAGCGGTCACTTGCACCACCCATACACAGCGCAGAGGCAGATTTACGGCAACCCTATACACACAATGAATGAATGAATAAAGCTCTTCATAAAAAAAACTGAAATGTTCTGTCTTTCAAGTGTGGTGTTGTCTAAAGTGGAAGATTAAGTGTTTTATGCAATGAGAGCTGCTTGTTCTCTTTCCAGCATGTTATGCTACTTAGAGAATCTAAGGTTTGCATATAAACCAATGTTTATGCTGTGTGCAATGATTGGAGGAAAACCAGAGGCACATTAATGAAGACGTACTATTTCAAACATAACATATTGCAGAAATATGTTTGACTGCTCTATGTATCTTCATACAACTGTTCTTCTGATGTATTCCTACACATTGAGCGATCAGCCAGATCACTGTAAATGTGACATATTTCAAATGGTTGCAGCATGGTTACAATAAGGTACATTTTGGTTTGCAAGCATCACTAGTGTCTTTTTAGCATCTGTCTTTTAGCATCTGAGCTCCAGGCCAGCAGCTGGACTGGCCTCGTTCAGGTGCACCTGTGTGTTTATCAGCATCAATATTTCATCTACAAGCTCTGTGTTTGTCGGGGCTCTTGCCGAGGTGCTTGAGCAGCAACACTGAAGGCAGCAGTTATGGACTGTGCATGTGTTTGCATGGAATATACCGCATGACCCGAGAGGGAGGCACAGTCTGCAATTTCACAGCAGCCTTTGTTTGCCCCCCTAGAATGAAGCCTTACAGGATAATGAGCACTTTAAGACTGCTATTCCCACAACACCGACGACTCGCCTGTCACAACACTCTGACATAGGCAGGGGGGAGAGAGGGAGAGAGGGAGAGAGGGAGAGAGGGAGAGAGGGAGAGAGTCAGCTGGATCTGACAAAGCCACACTTTCTGTCTTCAGCAGCATCCCTCTGAAGCAACACTGATTAAAACCTATCACACAACATTATTTCCATTATTATCTGGTCATGTTAAGAGCGTGGCCCGTACAAAGAATCCGAATATCAGTGTTTCTTTAGTCGACTCTCTCCATCTCTGTTTGTGTGAACGCTCTCATCGTTTCCCTCTCTCTCAGTCTCGAAGCAGAGTGGCAGACAGAGTCAAATATTAATTACTAAACCATTGTGCTCCCTCAGCTTTTATTCACGCTGACTTGACTAGATAACGAGAAACTGAGCCAATGTGCATTTTACACACACATACTATAGACAGGGACGCACAGCTGCAGCAAAACATGCAGATGATGTCGAGAGAAAATGGTCACAGTTGTTCGTGTTATATACTTTTTCCAGGGAGTCTGACAGTTTTCTTCTTTGCAAGTATCAAACATTTTTACACAAACACTTAGTTTTTCCTCACATTTAAGTTTTCCAACATACTTGAAGACAGAAACTCCCTGGTTTGGACCCTTTTTCCTGTTGCTGTGTAATTGTACTTCACATGACAGGATTTTTATGTCAGAGCTTTGTTGATCCATTGACAATGTGTTTTCAATTGTTCTAAATCCATCATGGTTCATTTTCTTTTGCAACACCAAAAACTAGGAAACAATAAAGGTTTCCCCACTTGGTAAATAATGGACTCTCATGGATCCTCAAAAGAGCTCTGATGGAAACCAAAAGAGGTTTAAGTATTTTCCATCAAGTATAAATGGCTCTTTTAAGAGTTCTTTCAGCCAGAAATAAGCTCTCTGAAAGAAGCTGTGTTGCCTAGAGGATGTCAACATTGTTGGATTTTGTATGAGTTCGGTCAGAGTCTCAATGAGATGCATTCATGGAGGAAATTGTGCAAAGCTGTTTGTGTATCCTGATGCAGATGGGGTCCAGAGGGGAACTTTTATCATCTTAGTTTGTAATATCTGGGTCAGGTGAGATATGTTCATGACAGGAACATAATTCTCAGTTAAAGAAAATATATAAAATAATCTAATATTGACTTATTTTTGATCAAAATCAAGATATTTTCCCTTTTTTTTTTTTAATGTTTAATGTCTATATCGATAACAACCACTTTTTATAAAGGTGGATTTATATGAAAAAACTGCTCTTATGACATCTAAGTGGTAGATCTGTACGCCATGTTTGTTTGTATCAAATGTCAGAGTGCCATTACTCAAATGAATCGTACTGTATGTCCTTAGCGAACCTTTTGTGCAATAAAGGGTTTCTTCCGCTTTATTTTTTCAATCCAACAACATGCCAGCGGCCTCGCAGTCACACAACAGGCCGACCTGCTGCTATGACAAATTCCAAAGAGGAGAAAAAGAAAATAATGGAGTATAAATGTGCGAGAGAGAGAATGGGAAATGATAGAGTCTATAAATAGGATACATACTGTAGCTTGTGTGGGTCCAAAAGATGTGTGTGTGAGTGCACCGTGTGTGTGTGAGAGTTAGTAGCAGCCTCATTTTCTCACATGCAAATGAAGGCGTCGGCGCAAAGATAACGAGGCCCATATTTCCACCTCCTCAGTGGGGCCATTATTTATTGATGTTCTGCATCTTTCCCCCTCCCTCCCACTCTCACGCTTTCTTCCTCCTCTCCCTGTTGCTAGGGTCTTCTCACTGCCATCCTGTTACGATGTCGGTGTACTTTCAGCAATTATTAAAGCACAACGTGTTTGCAATCACAGAGGACGAATCAGTGAAACCCTCTGTGTTGTGTAAATGGGAAAATCAGAACGGTGGAAGAAGTCAGTGTAATGAATTGGAAATAAATCGCATCAGTATGAAGTTTCTAAATATAGCTCGTCACATGCAAGAAGCTTTTGCAACCAATCACAAATATTCTCCAAACACATACAACACAGAGTTAGCTGGTTTTCAATGCAGCTTTCAATGCTGTGCCTTCAATTAAGGATAGTAACAGGAACTTATAACTTTGTAACCCTCCAGACTCTCAGAATGTAGCTAGAAGATGTCTTTCGGCCTGTTCGTTTGGCAGTTCCTTATGCAAACTGTATGGACTTCTCAACAGGAAACTAATTTAGCTCTTGGAAGTGAATCTGACCTACATGCTTCAGAGGGGCACACTAGTCTATTTTAAGAGACAGCATTTTTCGTCTCTTAGCAGGAATTATCTAATGACACTTACCCGTCTGAAATACAGAGTTTCCTGTGTATAAAGGAACTACAATAAAGAACAAATGGAGTGTGAGATTGTGCAGCACTCACAGCTCTGAGTAAAATCACTGGTATTCCGGTGGGATTTCCCGGTATGGACCCCATATCTAATCAGTTTGGAAAAGGCTAATGAGCTATCGAACTCACATCCCTGTTCTCCTCCTGGCAGAGCACTACCATCTGATCCCTGGAGTCTCCGTCTTACTCAACACTGTTGACGGTCAAAGGCAGCGGTTCCTTGCCTTGAAGGGCTTTCCCTGTTAAATGAAGGTTAGCGTATCTTCACTGCTCATTATGGTGACTATACGCTAGCACAAGGAGAAAATGTAGCAGCAGAGGGTCAGAGGCTCCACTCCTCCAGCACAACAGCAACAGTACAAATCCTCAGATAGATGCCTGCAGCACAACATTTGTATCCATTAAAGAAGAAGTAAGAAGGGAAAAAAAGGAAATTGACTTGAATAACTTTGTTACCTTTACGATTATGATGCGAAAGAGAGACAGGGAGGGGTTTTCTCTGTTTATGCTGAAATGTGAGCTTACATTTTCACTCTAAAAAGAGACAAAACACACTCACATATTCTAATACTCATAATTCACAGGGATCATTGGAGAGTGGTTCTAAAATTAAGGGTGTTTTCCTCTCCTGAAATGTGTTCCCAAAAAAAGCCAGGTACATTACATTTTGATCCAAAAAACATTCCGGTGATGAAGTCCTTTTAACTTTACTTTCAGCAATAATCCCTAAACAGTCATGCATTCGCAAAAAAAAATGCTTTGAAGATGTTACTTAAATGGTACAAAATAAATCTTTCCTATAAAAAAATAATCCCACAAAACTTTGATACACACAAACACAAATGAACACATGGCACAGAGACGTCAAAGTTAAGTAAGTCATAATCATTTAGCATATAAATCACAATCCTTTGAACGTTGTGATGTGAAAAGTGGGCGATATTCTGACTAATCTTTAAAAACTATGTATTCTTTGCCTTACACCCCTGCTCTCAATGGCAAGTTGCAGGGAATTTGAACGAAGGTGAGCAGAGACAGTGGAGGAGGAGCGGATCAAAGACTTGTGACTGTCACAGAAAGAAGAAGAAAGAGGAAAAGAACAAAAACGCTGCATATATTCAGGAGATATTCTCTCTCTGTGGTGCTGGATTGTGCTCACAAATGCAGACACGCCAGGCACAAACACACACAGAAACACCTACCGGGCTCGAAATAGGACAACAAATATTCCCCGGCTGGAGTGAAAAATAATAAACTACGTTATAAAATTAGCCCAGTGGAGTCAGAGAATGGCAGTGGTCCAGTTTTGCAGTAGAGGAATGTGTTAAAGCATGAAAAGCAGTGCTGTCGTGCTGAATGAGTGGATTTAGAGAGGAATGAGAGGGAAGAAAAGACAGTAGGGGAGGAAAGCAAAGGGAAAGATGGAGGGCAAACTGTGGAGGAGATAACAGTCCACGTCTGTGTTCTCCCCTCCTTTTAGACCTTTATGCAAAAAAAGGGGTGTTGCATCTGTATTCAAAGCGCGTGCCCACTCCACCCTCCCATTGCTCTCTCCCCTCTCGCTGCTGTGTACATTAAAAAGCTCAAGTAGAAGCAGGTGTCAGCCAATTAAATATAT